CCCATATTTTTGGCGCCACACATTCTTAAAACAGACCAATCAACCCGGTGTAAACTAACCAATCAATCTGGTTAAACATTAAACATTAAGATGTTGTGTACCTCCCATACACAACGTCAATCAGCCATTAAACATGAATTAGTCACAAAGCAGCAATTGATACCTCCCATATACAACATCAATCAGCCACCAAATACAATTCAAAATTTCCATTGACTTCCATATACAATACTTAACCTATCCATATTAGCGACGGAACACCAATTGAAACACAATTCAAAATTTGCATCTGGGCAGGACTGCGAGATCTAGTTCTATTCCTCTCCTCAGTGGTACTGCGAGCTCTTGCTATCCCCATCTCCTCGGCGGTGCCTGCTACCTGTACGAGGAGGCCGAGGTGCTCTTCACAGGTCGCGTCTCCACCATGACCGCAAGGCGTTCGACACTTTGCTCGCAAGGTACCATGAATAGCGGGGACGAGCATTTTTCAACAACCTCATTTGTTCACCGGATGATTTTTCGTCGAATGACGAAGAGTTTGTGGTTACTGCATTGGTAGTTAATAACCACATTGCTAGGCACCGGCTTAGGTTCAGGGAATCAATCCTAGGCCATGCTCCGGCGCTGAACCGCAATAGGGAGAGCAGTCATGCCCTACTGAATGCCGATTAATTTGAGAATTCCCCGCTCTTCAAACCCCATCTTTCCTGGCGAAGCTTCTGTATGGCAAGGCATGTGTTCAATCGTATTCAAGAGGGAGTGATAGCATTTGATGATTACTTTGAGTGCAAGGAGGATTCTCTTGGCAAGGTTGGTTTCTCCTCTTATCAAAAATGCACTTGCATACGGAATTCCCGGTGATCTTTTGGATGAGCACATTCGTATGAGTGAGTCCACATGTCTCAAATCAATGTACATGTTCTACAAGGCCGTGGTGACAGTGTTTGTCCCTGAGTACGTGAGAGAGACCAATGCCATAGATACAAACCGGTTGTTGGCGATCACTGCAGATAGAGGCTTTCCGGGAATGCTTGGCAGTATAGATTGTATGCACTGGAAGTGGAAGGACCATTCATTTGTTTGGGAGGGGCAGTACAAGGGACATGTAAAAGGTTGCACTGTCATACTAGAAGCGATTGCTTCAAAAGATCTTTCGATATGTCACTCTTTCTTCGCCATGGCCGGTTCTCAAAATGATATCAACGTGCTTCAGCGCTCTCCAATGTTCACAAGGCTTGCAGAAGGCCATTGCCCAGATGCCAACTTTGAGATCAACGGCCACCATTACAACAAGGGATACTACCTAGCTGATGGTATTTATTCTCGTGGTCAACTCTTGTGAAGACAATATCCAATCTAGAAAGAGAGAAGAAACAAAGATTTGCCGAAGCACAAGAGAGTGCTAGGAAAGACGTGGAGCGTGCTTTTTTCTGTGCTTCAATCTCGATGGGGTATCGTTTGACACCCTGCACTCACATGAAGCACCGAGAAGTTTTGGGAGGTGATGACTGCTTGTGTGATCATGAATAACATGATCATGAAGGAGGGGCGTGATAACAATATCTACGACCAAGACTTTGAATATCAGGGTGAAATTGTTGTGCCTGGGCACCAAGAACCGGCAACGTTTGAACAATTCATCGAATTTCATTTGTGAAAGGTGTGATTGGCATAATGATATGCAACTCCAAAATCACTTGGTTGAGCACACATGGAGTCACATTGACAACCAATAAATGTATCGGTTCATTTCAAACTATTTGCAATGTTTAGTTAAAAAATACTAGTACGCATTTATACGTCGGCCATGTTGAGCGCACTGACAACGCGTTCCGCAGAAATGGCCGAACAATGCCTCTTTGCTGTACCCAAACGGATAAAATCCAGAGAAATCGGACGTCCGTTTGGGCTGGAGTTGGCCTAACTGCAAGTCCTTAAATCTGCTACATCCATGATCTCCCCTTGTGGAAAAAGAAGAGAAGACCTCTACATACACGCGTACGTGCAGCCGTGCAGGAGGCTGGGAAATCTGACTCGCTCACCCGACACCGTTGATTGGCTTGCACACAATCGGATGGCCGATCGACCACTGCACTGCCTCCTCCAATAATGCAGACCAACCGATCGATCCACATCCACTGAGGCAGTCAGCCAGTCATCCTCTCCCGCCATCACCAAGTCACCAACCACCAGCAGCGGCAGCGGCAGCAGTGCCAGGAATGACATGATTGCACGGTTCCGGCGATCCGCCGGCCACGTACTCACTCGCCGACGTCGCATGCCATGCGCAGTCACGCATCGCCATGGAACGAACGAGGATCCCCCTCTGCTCCCCCCTGCTCCCAGTGTCACATCCGTCGCCCTCTCCCAGCTCTCTGCCACCGCATATGCGCCCCGTCCGGTAGGTGCGGCTAGCCTCTCTCTCGCCCGCCATAGCCCGCCCCCACCCCGCAGCCAGGACCGCGGTGGGGGCTCCGCCACTGCGCCGCCGCACATGCTCCCGGGATCGATCGGTCGATCGGATCGCTCGCTCCCTTCCCCACCGCCTGCCACTGCAACCCCGCCGCTGCCTACTCGCTTTGTTTGTTCCCCTCCCCGCCCGGTAAAACGCACGCGCTGCTCCTCCGACCGGCCTCGCCACTGCGGTGCGCCGCTCGTTTTCACCGCGCCGCTCTCCTAGCTTTTACCCCGGCACCGGCTGACGCCCGCCTCGGTCACCCGCTGTTAAGTGCCCGCCTGCGCCTCGCTCGACAGCGCGCACAGGCGCAGCGCGAGGCCGCATTCAACTCGCCTGGGCCACCACCGCCGCGCTCTCCTCTCCTCTGCCCGCCACCTCCATATCATCATCCCGCCCGGCCGCCCTCCACCTCGCGCCGACAGACGTAACAACCCACCCCGCACCGCTCTGCGCGTGTCCGCCCCGCCTCCACTGCTGGCATTTACGTGGCGCTTCTGCTGCTGCCGCTGCCGCTGCCGCTGCGCTTGCTCGCGCGCGGAGCGGGACGACATGAGCCGCGGCGCGCACCGGGAGATGCCGGCCGCGGGCGGGGGCGGGGGAGTGGGGACGAAGCTCAAGGCGACGCCCCGGGCGCTCTTTTCGTGTGGCATCTTCAGCACCTGCACGCACCCGGCGCTCAGCCCCACGGCCACGCCCAACAACAATGCCGCGGCGGGGAATGGTGGGGTGAAGGGTGGCGGTGGTGGTGGGTCGGCCACGCCGGGCGGCGACGCGTCACCGGCGCTCGTGGAGGCGGTTGCGGCCTCGGCGGTGCCGTCGCCGGTGCAGTGGCATCGTCAGAAGCAGGTTGTGCACGGGGGTAATGCTAACGGCAGCAACGGTGCCGGGCCGTCGTCGTTTTCCTCGTCCTCGTCGAGCTCCGCGTCGCAGAGCTTCACGCAGTGGCGGCTGCCGGTGCACCACCCGCAGCAGGCGGCCTCGTCGGCGTCCGCGGCGGGGGCAGGAGCGGCCAGCCACGCGGTGGCGGGCAGCACGGAGGAGAAGTTCGCGGCGGGGGATGTGGTGGCGGCGCTGCGTGCGGTGGAGCGGGAGATGGAGGCCACCGAAACTTCAAAGACGGTGCCGGCTGCCGTTGTTGCCGGGGTGGTGGCCGCGGTGCGGGAGCCAGCGACGGCGAGGCTGGCGGCGAAGGTGCTGCTGGTGATGCTCCTGGAGGAGGGGAACCGGGAGGCGGCGGTGGAGGCCGGCGCGGCGTCGGCAGGCGTGGAGGCGGTGGCGGCGTCGGGCCCCGCGGGCGCCACGGCGGAGCGCGCGCTGGCAGCACTCGAGCTGCTCTGCACGGCGGCCGGGGGCGCCGCAGCCGTGCGCAGGGAGGCCCTGGCGGCGCCCGTGCTGGCGCGCGCCGTGGAGGGCATGTCCGGGCGCGGGCGCGAGTGCGCCATCGGCGTGCTGGCGGCCATCTACGGCGGCGAGGAGGCGGCCGGCGCGTCCCCGCCGCCGCCGGAGGTGGTGAAGGCGGTGGTGGGCGCGATGCAGGGCGAGTGCAGCGCGCGCGGGCGGCGCAAGGGCGCCCAGCTCCTCCGCGCGCTCCAGGAGGGCGGCCGCCTCGGGCTCGCCTGGGACGGCGTCGGCGGCTCCTGATGAAGCGACGAGCAACCGGCCGCCTCGGCGTCGGCCACACTCCACTCCACTCCACTGGAGTGAAGCTCGAGTAGAATGGTACGCACCCCACGCGCAGTGACGGACTGACGGGACGGCTGATGATCAGCGGGCGGACTGGATCTGATTAGGTGGCCACTGTTGCAACAGCCTTGGGTGATTGATTACATTACATTACATTAGATAATAGAGGGATTGTCTGTTTTACATCCGACTGAAATCCAATTCCATTTCAGTCATATATTTCCACCGTGTTTTACATCCGATTGTCTCTTGTCTTTCCCTCTCTCTTCCTTTAAAAATCAAAAAGAGACCCTGAGAAAGACTAAACGGGTCCCCGCTCTAAAACCCCCAAAAAGAACAAGCTGCATAACCTCTCCATCGCACACAAGAACAAGAAGCAAACACGGCGGGGATTCCTCCAAGGGAGCAGAGCTGGAGAAAGACATGGATTTCCAGGTGAGAGACCTCTCCGGCCAAACTTCTCTGCGTCCCTTTCACTAACGCTCCTCCCATCTGTGAGAAACAGCTCCCTTCACCTTCTTCTCAGCATCTGCATGAAAACAGAGGGGAAGTTACTACACCTTTGCAACAAAAGTAAGAAACCAGAACAGAAAAGGAGCATGGGGTCGTTGGATGAACATAGACATGAAAAAGCAAGATCAAAATCAACCTTTACATAGTGGAATTACAGCAAGTTTTTACAATGATTTTGCACTAGATTTACAGTGCATTAGCAACAGTTTTATAGTGCAATAGCAGTAGATTAATAGTGAATTAGCACAAGATTTACAGTAAAATGTTCACAGTAAAACATGCTACTATATATTCCGATGAGATATTGCAGTGAAAACCACTGAAAATTACACTGTAAAACAGGGCAAATAGTATGAATTACAGTGTAAAATAAATGTAAGTACACTGACATTACACCGTAAATTACATTGAATAAATTCCAAAATGAAAATTACACTACAATATGGACTGGAATTTTCAGAACATGGCATTGCAAGTACACAGGTATTTCAGTTATAAAAGCCCCTTCCATGTCCAATCTACGCAGACCAAATGATTTTCCAGTAGATTTAGAATGCATAACATTTATAGTGCAATAGCAGAAGATTTACAGTGAAATAGCAGAAGATTTACAGTAAAATGTTCACAGTAGAACGTACTACATATTCCAGTGGAAACCACTGAAAATTACACTGTAAAAACAGGGCAATTAGTGTGAGTTACAGTGTAATTACAGTATAAAAAAATGTAAGTACACTGACATTACACTGTAATTTACATAGAATAAATTACAAGATGAAATTACACTACAAATTGGACTCGAATTTTCAGAACATGGCACTGTAAGTATCAAGAAGACACACTGTAACCTATCTTGGTTGTCAATTACATAATGCAAGATGCCGCGAAAAATTCATCTCTAGCTTGTAATTTAGATCTTTGTTGACACTTTACATAGCTCAGAGGAAACACTGAAATTCAAGCAAAAAACAATAGCTTTGCTTAAGAACATGATACTGAGTACTTCCATTTTTTCTTAAAATTTCAGGAACAAGAAGCTGAAGGAAACGAAGGGAAGCAAGAATGCGAGGACAGGAGTCATACCTGCAAGATGAAGAGGATGCACTCCTTCATGTAAGCCAATAATTGCTTCTTGTGGAAAATAAAATAAAGAAAGCAAGGATCAGGTTGTTGTATCTAACTGGTTTATAAAAAATCGTATTTACAGAACGGGGCGTACACATTTACTGAACTTCTTCAAGCGCAGATGATGTACAAGGTAAAAAAGGAAATTGGAAACATTGCAAAAAGAGCACAGCCTATAAACACAAAAATTATACTTATGCATGCATTTTACCGCCCTACCTAGCAGGAAAATTATTCTGGATTCCAGGGAAGTACAGAAACTGATTACAATCTGGCAAACACTGCAACCAGCAATTATCAAACATGAACACACAACGACACGGTAAGCATTGCCCTCCAGATTAAAAAAGAATGCCCAGATGAGACTATTTTGCGTATATATGACTATAACACTGGTAGTGTGATTGAATGACAATGTTTGTGGGTTCACTTGTTGATGCAGGGAGAAACTGTGATGATGACTGTTCACAACCCATGGGATGTCAGTCTATTTGACAACATGGAACCTGACAAGGTAAACTCACATGATAGTTAAGATGGCTGACTTGGACTAGCTAAAAAGTAACTTCTGGTGAAAATAATCCTTAAGATGGCTAAAACTAACAAACAATAAATACAGGAACCTGAAGAATCTGCATATGATACATCTGCAACACAAGCAACAGAGAAAGGGCTAAATCTACAAGCAACAGAAAGAAGTGAAGAGACAGAAAAACAGCAGCAAACTCAAACCGAAGAAGACAAGGAGTACCTAGATCTTCCTACGAGATGTTCCTATAAGATGTTTCATGTACAGAAAACGAATTTACAGTTAAGTGTACACAGTAAATAGAAATCAAACTCCTAGATCTTCCTACAAGATGTTTCAGAGAATTTCAAAGAGAGTAAACTACAAACCATACTAGAAAAACTGGAATTGCCCAACATACCTACAGTATTTACAATGCCATTAACACAGTAAAAGCATACAAGCTGACTGTAAAAGAAAGAAAATAAAATACTAACCTAATAAACAGGCATGGAGTTACCAAATAAACACACACTAATTACAATATCAAGAGCATAGTAAAAAGCATACAACCTTACTGTAAAAATATACGAGAAATAGAGAAACCAATTTTCTAGGCCTAGAAACTAGGTATTACCCAATATACTAATTACAGTAACACGATCACACTAAAAAAGCAGTCAAGCTCACTATCAAAAGGCTACCCTAAAAGCAAGGTACAACTTGGAATTTCCCAGCATACATGCACTAGTTACAGTTGAATGAGCACGGTAAAAAGCCTCAATGCTCACAGTAAGTTGCTTAAGTTGCTTTCAATCTTACTGTAAAAGACCAAAACTAATTACAGTACAAAGTAAAGATGCATGAATACAGAAATAGGACCATAACCAAAAAAACATATTTACATACCACACTACGGTCTCCTGCAGTAGTTATCTTCCGTTTCAAATATCTAACTTTCTACAAACCAAAAAAAAGAGAGTAAAATAAAAGGTATACTAGCAAGATGCCCATGCATTGCACGGGACATCAAGATGCATTTCTATGAGTAGTTTATCTTGTGAGAGAAAAGGATGAACGAGGGAAAGCCTTATTTGCAAATGTGGAGAGGGGTGTGGGTATCATTTTGCAAAATTGTCATAGTTTCCTTCCTATCCGTCAGATATAAATCGGACGGCCTATATTGCAGGATGGCAGGCACACCATCAACACCAACTCTGTTTTTTATAAGAGTAGAGATAAGAACATATGGGATATGAAAACAAAAGATATATAAGAACACTTGTGATATGAAAACAGAGAAGAACATCGAATAGACGAGATCAAAAAGGCAAATCAGAAAAGTTTACTTACATGATTCACATAAATGTTGAACAATTGTGTGTCAAAAGTGCCATCATCCATAGAAGATTCCAACAGAGAGCAAAAAATAACTAAATTAAATAATTTGAAAGCGGAAAAAGCAAACTAAATAAGGAATAGATGTTAAAAAGGTGAGAAAATAAACCTGAGACATTTTAAAACAAACAGCATCTGCAAAATCGTCAGAAACAAAAGGATTATATGAACATTCAACACTGTCATCAGGAGAAACGGCATGGGGTCCCTGCCCACAAGCTTTACGCAATCTTGCCATCCAAACAAACCAGAACTGCAACTAACAAAAAGATAAAATCAACAAATTTACATAGAGAATTACAGTGTAAATGCAATGACAATCTAAAGTACTTACATAATGGAAAATTCAAAAAAAACTAGTGTAAATACAATGTAAAATCATATAAGTTACACATGGATATACAATGTAAGCACATTAAAATATGAAGCGTAATTACTGAAAATTACAAGGATACACAGTCCAAATTTACTAAAGATACAATAAAAGGACAGACCCAGTGCATAGAAGCTCCCACAGAAGGTGGGGTCTGGGGAGGGATTATAGGAACCTAGTCTTACGACGCGAATTTTGAGGACATGCGGCCACACGAGGTCGTTATCTCGTGCGTCGGCAGCGCGTCGCGATCGGCAGCTAATATAGCAACTCCTCCCCACTAGCAAATACGGCACAGTGTTTTATTTGTTCTTAGCCGGGATATGCCCACTATACGCTCTCATTTATGGGCCAGTATGCATTTACTCTTGTACAAATACAGCGTTGTCCATTAGCTAGTCGACACGCTGGGACACCCGTTCGGTGGTGTGGTCATAAACGCCCTGACGTCGGGTCCACCATCATTTAGCAATCAATTAATCATGGGTGTGGCATTGATGGGGCACATCGCCTTATCTTATTGGTGCATTCAAGTGCATGGCGGACGACGACTGGGCGATGACTCATGACTCCACTCTCTCTTACAAAAAATATGTGTTTGCATCTGTTTCTTGATTAGAGACAGTCTAATTACGACGGCGGGGGGTACATAATTAATTGCACTTAGCAGCTCCCGCCCTTGCATGGGCAAGCTGGACGTACTAACCGATACATGCATATTGCTAGAGATACTGTAACATACGAAAAGGAAACGGCATTCCCTACGCAGAGGGGATACAGCCCATGTGTGACTACGACATTGCCCTGTTCATGGCCATGGCAATGCGGTGGGTACATCGAACTCCACTGAGCGGCAGCAAGACCAAGGCATGTATGAGTACGACACTACGTACGCAGGACGGGGTGGTGCTTCAGAACTTGAGCTATACGAGATGGACGAACACATGCTTTGCAAGCCCAGATAATCTGAGAATAATGGAGAATGGGAGAAGCTTGGAATGGCCATCCAAAGCAAGGAAGGATGGCGTTTAAATAGCCAGC